AATAACACATAAGTATCCTTGTGTGTATTTATTTGTTTGATTAATAAACACAAGTTGGAGTCCGTCAGGACCGAGGGTCGGAGCAGCTCATTTGCTTTAGAGAATTTTACACCCGGAAGGAAGTATTCTCTCCGCTTCGCTTGACAAACCCAGCGCCATATAGACTGAGAGTTACGTCATCTCCGTTCACTCCAATGGACCACTTTTTTACAGCAATGGCGGATCGTGGAGCCTCTCAATCGTTCCCCGGCGATTGAGAGGCTAGCAGAGCTGTAGAGTTGCAGCATAATAGCCCGTTCGTGACGGACTTTTAAAGGTAAGAAGAAGTTTAAAGATTTATATTGCGGATATTATCAGTACATCTGATTCAAATTAACATGTGTATTAAAGGATGTCAGTGGATTATCCATAAATTAGTAGATTTAGGGAACGGTTACAGATAACAGATTAAGCTAGGATACCATACCATAGTACCATACACTATACCATAGTGGTTGAATACACAGTATTAGGAAACACTTGTTATACTCATTACATACTGTATATAAAATATGACCAAGAATGTGAGACAACTTTATAGAAATTCATATCACATCTTTTACTGATGCTATTTGTCATACTTTGTTAAACTCACAAATAATAAAGTTCCATAACTTCAGTTGGGAACAAAGACCACACCTTATCTCCCCAAGGCAATTTCCCATCCAATAGGTGTGCTATATAGGTGTGTATAACCCTTTCTCCTGTCTGTTACTCCCTCTTTCAGCACAAGAACCAGAGGGGGATTCAATGGAGCCTGAATACCTGCACTGAGACCCTCACCCTGCACCCTGAGTCTCAACTCTGTGTTTTTCAAGCCTTTCCCTGTTTTTTTGTATTAAACAAAACATTAAGCTTTCCCAATGGTGTGGTTTTCGTTTTGTGAAAAAGTGCAAATGCAGTGTTTGTATATAATAACCTCACATATTTTTTTGCTGTTGGTCGTGAAATTGCTCCTGCTGACTTGAGCCAGCCATTTTTTCCTCCGCTCTGTGTCAGTGGGGAAGCCGTACATTCGTACTCCTTTCTCGGAGCGATTTGAGCATCCCCAGGCAGCACAGCAAACCATGGTGGCGACTAGGAGGCAGCACAGCAAACCAGGACAACACGGAGGAAAAGGCACAGACAAACTGCATGATATGCTATTCAATTTTTATTGAATTCCATGTATTAGCAATGGATGTTCCTAAAACAACACATTTAACATCATCATCATGCTGCTGCTGCTAGTCCTTTGATAGTCACCTGTCGGTCTCCTGTCCTTTCTGAAAGCCATAAAGATGACATTAGTCATTTCGATAACTTGTGTCCTCAATTACCATGGGATTACTGAAACTACCATGAATTTAAGAAAATGGTAGAAATGAATCTAATCTGAATTTTGAAGCATTCCTTTAGATCCCCTCCCTCTAAATATATCAATAAACATTAGAAAGTGATGCTCCTGACTACCATACATGTTTAAGAAGATAATATTGGTTTTAAAGAATTCAAAGCTATAAACAGCAACAGGCTCTTTAACCAAGGCACTGTTAGCCTAACATGTAAACTAGTTGTTCACACTAATCCTAATATTATCACTTAATATTAGAAAATTCTATTTTATTTTTTAAAACATATTGATGTAAATACATACACATATCGATTTGTTGTATAAATATTGCAAATCAAAACCTTTATTCACTAATAATTACCAAAAGTCTAAGTTCTATCTCCTGTTATCAATGCATTCACATTGCCCGCCATGAACTTCCGGGGAACGATTCTCGTCTGCATGAACCACGTGACGATAACCGTTTTTGGACTTCCGCTGTCGTAACTCTTCTATCTATACGGCGCTGGTCGCCAGTTGTCATGACTCAACTTGTACTGCAACACCGGTAGCTTTATCTGTTATCTGTAAACGTTCCCTAAATCTACTAATTTAGGGATAACCCACTGACATCCTTTAATACACATGTTAATTTGAATCAGATGTACTGATAATATCCGCAATATAAATCTTTAAACTTCTTCTTACCTTTCAAAAGTCCGTCACGAACGGTCTATTATGCTGCAACTCTACTGCGCTGCTAGCCTTGGCGCTAACTTCCGGGGAACGATTGAGAGGCTCCACGATCCGCCATTGCTGTAAAAAAGTGGTCCATTGGAGTGAACGGAGATGACATAACTCTCAGTCTATACGGCGCTGGGT